ACTGGCAGCATGCTGTCTTGTTTCTTGGTGTTCAGGAGTGGCATTATCAATAGGTGCAGACACCCTGGCAACATGCTCTTCTTAGTGTTCAGGAGATTCATTAGCTGTAGGTGCAGCACAGGCAGCATGCTGTCTAACTTTGTGTTAAGGAGTTTTATCTCTAGGTGGAGCCATTGCAGAACTTGTACCAATCGCATAAATGATTGTAATCGGCTTTGAAGAGAAGCGCACGTTTTCTGCTATGAACAGTATAGGTGGAGGTTAGAGTTAATAAGCATGAAGAGTAAATAGTGTGTGAGTGAATGCAATATAGATTCGTAGGTATATAATTAATAAAATCACGACGTTTCGATTGCAACACAAACAATCATCATGATCAGGTGGGAAAACCACAGCAAGAATTTGTTTGCTGAAATGGGAGAGAGGATTGCCATGGTAATAGGTTATACAGTGATACCTCGGTTCACGAACTTAATTCGTGAACTGACTCTGGTCGTGAACCGAATTGGTCGTGAACCGAGGCACATTTTCCCATAGGGTTCAATGTAAATCCGGTTAATCCGTTCTGACCTTTTTTTTTGGTTTTTGAAGCATAAAAATAGGAAACAAATGACAATACACATTACTGTAGTACTGTACAGTATAGTAATGTATAAAGAGAGAACACTAACCTTGCTTGAGATGACTTCTGGCATGGAGGAAGCCAGGCAGGAGGCGGGTGGGAGACAGTAAGCACTCAAACGGGTGAACTGTACAATACAGTAAGTACAGTATTGTACAGTACAGTAGTACAGTACTGTATGTGCTAAAAAAGCACACCAAAAATCAAAAAGTCACTGAAAGTGTCTTCACAGTACTCACAGTACTTCTTTATGTGTCTCTGCTTCTCTCCACGATCTTCCTACAGGAAGTCACGACCATGTGACAGCCTGGAATTAGCATAAACATGGCCGCGGCTCCTGTTCGTGAACCGAAGCGGAGTTCGTGAACCGGAGCATATTTTTATGAAATTTTCTGTTCGTGAACCGAAGCGTTCGTGAACCGAGGTATCACTGTATAGGTAAGAAAAGGGAAAGGAGCAAAGGGGAGGAGAGGGTTGGTTGGCGGTGTGGGGTAGGAGGAGGGCGAGCGCTGCATGGTATAGTAGTACCCGGCAGATATGATAGACGACAACCAATACAAAGCAGTTAGGGTTTTACCTCGTTAATAACATCCTTCCAATGATTGCTCAATTTGTATCCATCTTCTCGGTTGAAGTTATGTCTATGTTTATATATCTGGATAGCTTCATGAACAAACCTTTGATAGTAGCCCGAAGGTTTGCAGAGTACCTTGGTCTCGGAAAAAAAACAATATCATGCGAGCCCACAGTGTTATAACAATGATCAGCCATGGCTGAGGTATTGGTTCTACCATGTTTCAGATCTGCCATGTGTTCGCGAACACGGTCTGAGATATGTCGTTTCGTTTCCCCAATGTAACAGCCACCACAGGTGCAACTTAATTTGTCGACTCCAGGATATTGCATGTCAGGAATGACATCCTTCACAGATGGGATTAGATCACGGATTTTGTGTAATGTATTGAATCGGACCTGGATCTTGTGTTTGTTTAAGATTTTGGAAATCTTTTTGGTAACACCTGCTATGTATGGTAACGTGATGGTTTTGATCGGCGTCTCAGTGGGTTGTTTCTCCATGGTTGGAGAAGCAGCTTTGCGAATAATGCGGTCCGAATACCCATTCATCTTGAGGGCCTGGTGTACGTGTGCCAGTTCACTGGCTAGGTGATGTTGGTCAGAAATGCAGTGGGCCCTATGGTGTAGTGTTTTTATGAGGGATTTCTTCTGTGCCAGGTGGTGGTGGGAATCAGGTTTCAGATAGGAATCTGTGTGGGTGGATTTCCTGTAGACAGAGTGTCCCAACAAGCCATTCGGCCTCTTCTCAAACATAACATCCAGGAATGGTAGCTTACCATCCTTCTCCACTTCCATGGTGAATTTGATGGATGAGTGTATGGAATTAATGTGGTTGAGAAATTGGTTCAATGCTGGCAAGCCATGTGGCCAAATGACGAAAGTGTCTTCTACATATCTCAAGGAATGACGTAGGGTGGATGTCTGGATGGCATCTGTTTCAAATTTCTGCATGAAAACATTCGCTATCACTGGTGATAAGGGGGGACCCATGGGGGTACCTTCATTTTGTTTGTAGAAAGTACCATTCCAGGTGAAGTAAGTATTGGTAAGGCAGTGCCTAACCAGAGTAGGAACATCAGGATTCAGTCCATGTTGGACTACATCTTCAATTATTGCTAAGGTGTCAGGCACAGGAACCTTGGTGAACAGAGAGACTACATCAAAGCTGACGAGAAAATCATCTGGGGACAGTGAAATGCCCTTGATTAGAGAGACCAAGTGAGCTGAGTTACGTACTGTTGAGGTAGTCTTGCCAGTGAATGGAAGCAAGGTATCGAACAGAAAATGGGCCTGTTTGTAGGTAGGTGAGTTGATAGTGGAAACGATCCTGATGTTCCTGCTGCTGTAGTTTCTGTCTATTGACTACAGCAGAGGTGTATGGATTTTCAACAGAAATTAGATCTCTGTACTCTTAATTAATGCTTATAGTACCATAAAGAGGCTTGGGGCTTCGGGTTGTTATTTGATTAAATAATCAATGCCTCTGCTCACATTTGAGGATTTGTTTGATTTTGGGCAGCCCCGTCTAAAGTTGCGTGACCAGGAGTCTGAGCCATTTCCTGTTCAACTTGGCTTGTAACAGAAATTCACCCTGGCCCCAAGCATTACATTACATAGCATCTCAATAACTATGTAGTTTGAGGAGATCCCAATGGTCATTTCAAAACCATTGCATTCGTTAGGGTTACAATGATACACTAATCAATGCCTGGTTATAGTTAAAGGATCGTTCCCTGCTGGTCAACCATGTTACATCTGCTGATGATCTGGTAATGGCTACTTAATGAGATGGAATTAGGGAATCTTGTTCTGTGGCTTGAAAATTCCATCATGAAATGGGGCCTTGCAAATGTTCCACAAAAAATCACCTGCCTGGGAATTGAATGTCATCAACAACTGCACCTGCTCAACTCTCCATTAATAATCATGCGGTTCTACATGTGTTGGAGGAGCTCCCATACTTGGTTAATGTGTTCACGACCAGCTCTGGTTTGGCAGCCAAAGTATCACTTAAAATTAGTTGAGCAGCATTCTTTCATTAGACTGTAACACTGTGTTTGGTACTGGCAAAGGAAGTCCCATGATGTAGATGCTCACCCCGAGCTCTCATTACTCTGATGGTGCATTGTCTTCGTGCTGTACGCCTTTTGGCGTCCTCTGGTCTAACACCGTTTGAGACGAGGCTCAAAAGAAAGTTGTCTCTGGTGTGGACCAATCAGTTTAAAAGACAATGCACATATTATCAGCGTTTTTTTTGCATTCTGACCACAAGCATTGTGGTTAATGCAGACATGATTTCTTGTAAAAGGTTTCAGTTTGGTGTTTTAACATTTTAACACTTGTTTTGTTGCCAGAAAAAAGGGAAAAACCTATTATCACGTGTGGAAGGTGCCTAGACTTTTGCTCCATACAAAGCTATGAGTTCTAAATTTCAAGTTTGTGTGACTGCAAGGATCCATACTCTTTGGTTTATTCGGTAAAGCTGTGAGTGTCCATCGCCAAGGTCTAGTCCATATGAGACAAATTTAAAGCCACTTACATGGCGTTCAGTTGCACCTATCATGGTATTAGCACTGTGATAAGGTTACTTCCAGTTCTTCATGAAGAGTGTATGGTTTTTTTCTAATATGTTATAATGATCCATGTGAAATGTACGTGTATTTAAGAGTTTATCTTTGTAGGGAGAGGTGGTGCGGTTATTTCACTGCATTATGAACTCAACAAATAGATTGATTATTGCCTAAAACAAACACGATTGATAAGTGAAAGCTGAACTTATTGTGGGCCTCTGCCATGTTGATTGATCTTAAATAAATTACACGGTGAAGTGAACAAGCAATAATACAGAGCAGATGAAGGCGGCCAGGCATGGTTCTGGACACGCAACGACCTTTTTACCATGCCAGTGTGTGACAGTGTCAAGTTTGTATTTGCAGTAAAGTATATTAACCATTGAACAAGGAGGTTACATCAAAAGAATAGTTTATTTTAGTTTTCCTCTGGAATTTTTTATGAGAATGGATACGGTCAGGAAAATATCTCTGCACATGCAGCTGAAGTTAGATCTGTTCATCCGAGCATTCAATCAAATCTGAGCCTGGCTTCACACGTGGAAGTTTCGATTGAACATTAATTTATGCACCTCCATGTGGCGATGTCCGAGAACTCCCAAGCTTACATTTAAAAGCAAATTTCTTACATTGACATGCTAATCTCTCACAATACAATGGCCACCCCCACAACTTCGTTTATCAAGATTTCTCCTATCTTACGTTTACATGCAAATCTCATCTCTTGCCCCGCCCACTGACCCTTGGGCTCCACCCATCTCAAACCTTTATAAATCCCTGCCTTAGCAGCGCTGCCGCCATATATTTTTTCCTACCTCAGCAGCTTTCACCTGATGACAATTGCTTGTGTTGCAATTGAAACGTCGTGATATTTATTATTTTTATTATTTTATTATATTTTTGATATCTATGTGCCTTTACCAAAAGACCCAAAGAATATTAATTTATGCATAATATAAAGTATTATTTTCAACACCCTTCGCTATGTTAGCTGAATTTTTCTAAATTGTGTGCTTGGAGTTTTGGGTAAACATTCATTTTGAAGATACTAGGGCTTCCGGGCAGGTTTCTGACAACTTGCCCTCTCATTGTGTGCCTTAACAGCCCGTGTGATATTAATAAGTCTAGACGTGCAATTCAAGGGTGATTATATATTTATTCCTCTCTGCCTCGATACTGATGTAGATGGTATGGATATGTTTTTCTGTCTGCAGCCGATGCTTCCTCTAAAGATTTGGTGTGATGGAGCAAAGGCACTCAGCGCAGCTCGGTACAAAAAGGAAACATTGCGACCAGAATGCAAACAGCACGAATCGTACTGAAAATTTGACATGGCACCAGAGAACTCTCACAGGAGAGAAACCCTTCAGGTGTAGTGTGTGTGGGAAGGCATTTTCAGATTCATCTAATCTTAAAAAACACCAGAGAACACACACAGGAGAGAAACCCTTCCAGTGCACTCTGTGCGGGAAGCTGTTTGCAGTGTCATCACATCTTCGAAGACACCAGAGAACGCACACAGGAGAGAAACCCTTCAAGTGCACTGTGTGCGGGAAGGCGTTTACACGGTCATCACATATTAAAAAACACCAGAGATCACACACAGGAGAGAAACCTTTCAAGTGCAGTTTGTGTGAGAAGGCATTTTCAAGTTCATTTAATCTTAAAATACACCAGAGAACACACACAGGAGAGAAACCCTTCAAGTGCAGTGTGTGTGGGAGGACATTTTCAATTTCATTTTATCTTAAAATGCACCAAAGAACACACACAGGAGAGAAACCCTTCAGGTGCACTCTGTGCGGGAAGGCGTTTGCACAGGCATCAGGTCTTCAGAGACACCAGAGAACACACACAGGAGAGAAACCCTTCCAGTGTACTGCGTGTGAAAAGGCATTTGCATGGCCATCAGGTCTTCATAGACACCAGAAGACACACAGGCATCAGGACATCCCCAAGGAGTGTAGTCTGAAATCGACTTTTGAAAGTCAAAGTGCTGCAATGAGCCCATCCCTCCTGATAAAAGAACCAGAAGTAAATTCCAGCTTGGACACTATGAAATGTATCAAGGTGAAATGTGAAGTGATGGTGACGAGCGAAGAAGTGAAGTTAAAATGTGAAGAAGTGATGGTGAAGAGCGATGAAGTGAAGGTGAAATGTGAAGAAGTAATGGTGAAGATTGAAGAAGTGACGGTAAAATGTGAAAATGAAGATTCAACTCCAAAATCGCACCTTCACATTGATGGAGGCAACGTGAAGCAGGAGGAGAATTCTGACTTTGAGGCAGAGCATGGCAACTCCGAGCAGTTTGTGGAAGTGGAGGTGTGGGTGGACTTCTTGGACAGTACAAAGTCAAATTCAGACCCTGTAGATGTGCAAGCTTGACAATGAAGCTCCAATAGATTCACTTTGTCACAGGCCTTCAATTAAAATAATGTGAAGTTGAACACTCAATTTCCAGGTTCAAATCTGCAAAGGAAGAGCGGCCAGTATTTGCGGACCTGCGTGTTGGGTAGATCTCTATCCAGGAGCCAGAGCCAATAAGCTCCCAAGCATTCACAATGTTTTCATAATAATATTAGCATTTATCTGGTGCTTGCTTAATCGCCTCAGCAACTCGAAGTTTCATATCTCATCACAAACACTTGAACAGCATGTTCCAAAAATTTATGTTAAGAGTGATTCTGCCTATTTCTTGTAATAATTTTGATCGGGATGTAGCGCTGGGGCACGGAGAATTCCCCCCCCCCCCCCGCCTCCTCCCTTGCCACACAAACGACAGCGAGAGGATAATTACTCACAAGCCTGCTGGGGAAGTCATAAAATGTAATAAAAAACGGCAAACCCAAAGGGGGCTAATGAGATTCTGCGAGTAATCCCCAGTTGACTTTAAAAGAAGGCCGCCATAAAGGAAACAACCCACAATAAAACAAACAAGATGGAAATAGCAGGGGTCAAGAACCTCCATTGGAGAGCAATATCCACTCAAGGGCAGTTAATCATCATGAGCTGACTGGGGTTTTAAAAATACAACAGTAAGGTTTGAAGATAAGGATATCTTGAGAATAAGAAGCACGGATCCCTGGTGATACAGACGGGGCACAAAGGTTAATAAAACCCTCAGAATATCCTTGGTAACAACTATGGTATACCACAAATCTTGGTTAAGCATGAACCAAATCATAATTATGAAAGTATTAGACCTAGGGTCATTCAGAACAGATACAATGCGAAATATGTCAATCAAACGCGACCAAGATAATGTATTCCACGGGATCAGAGCTTCACCAACCGCCTTTGTCTTCCAGTAGCTAACAGCACATGGTAGCAGTAAATTATGTATGCAGGGGGCGCCTCCCCCTAATATCAATTACCACGCAAGAATTCCAAACTGCGACGTGAGTGCTGTGAACTCTGCTCTAAACTTACTTTGAATCGCTTGCAGAGTCAACTGCAGAAAGTGGTACGGTTCTAAGCTATAAGAGGTGTAAATTGGTTTTACTTCCAACCCGTGTTGAGAGGACGGAAAACATGCCACAGCAAGCACACCCGTGCACAATAGGTCACGACTTCAAAGTCAGTGCCCCTTTTTGAGAGAGACTGCAAGTCTGATGCGAAAAATTGTAGCACTTCTAACCCGTGATGGGAGCATGGGGAAAGCTGCCCAAAATGTGAATGGAAACATGGTGGTAATAAAGACATCCAGACAACAAACAGCCCAAGCGACTTCAAAAGGAAAACAGCTACCCCTTTGTGAGAAGACAAAGCCTGAGGTGGAAAAATTCAGATAAGCAAGAATGCAAGAACATAAATCAGTCCTGCTCAAAGAATCATCTAACTGCAACTTTTGAGAAGTTCAAACCATCAAGCACATCACCGATGAATGCTCCATCCATGCATATCCTGGCGGTATCGCTGAAATCCACACTGCGTCAACCACATCATTCGACTGGAGGAGGAACCTTTGCATTCATTTATGACGATCATTAACAATAAAACTTTTGCTTTTCACAATGCCATACGAAAAACGAAGTACTGCGAGTGGCAGGCTCCAGGGATTGCCCTCGTGACTAGAAAATCATAGGGTGCTCTGCATCAGCAGAAGCCACGCATTACGGAGAGGTTTCTTTCTGCATCATTGACAGAGGCTGCCAGCCAAGGCTGGTGCTCGCAGTATTACAATACAAACGTGGGGAAGAGTGCCGTAGCATTACTATTCCCGGTGGCGAGGTCGCTGTGTACAGCCAACACGCACGATCATAGTGACAATCGTTCTGATTGTGCTCCGATCAAAGTCAACCCTTCGAGGGAAAACTGGTGCAACCACTATTCTTGAGAGTGCCCCTTTAAATTGCAACCCACAGGCGAAGTTTAGTTGAGGGCAGGATCAGAGACTAACACGGAATTATATAACTTGATCTGTAGCATGCCCTCTGTGCAGCACGAGTCATATAGACAACTAGAAGAGGACTCTTGTAGAGGTGGGGGGGCGGGTGAGACGACAGGGACTGTCTCTCCAAGTCGCTCCAAAGTCTACAAGGACCAACAGTGTCTGGTGCCAAGGGGGGTGACGCGCGGCAACCAGCGGACGAGCTGCGAGCGGTGTCTGGCGACGGGATCATCGCGCACATCAACGCAGATGGAGCCGGACCCATCATCCCTGCCAGCACGGGCACCGTCGACAGCGTGACTCGCGTGTCGACTCGGCAACCACCCCAGCGGTGGAGAGAGACTGACGAAGCAGCCGAGAGCGCTATGTGTTCGACACAAACGCAGACCCAGCGCCCCTGCTGGGGACCTGAGGTGTTTTCGGTACAAGGAACGCTGCATTTCGGAAGCCGCAAATCAACAGTTAGCAAGAAGACAACACACACCCACACACAACGCACATATTGGTACAAATAAGATTGTTCCAAAAAGTTATATTAGTGTTTCGAAAAGGGTTGCGTTCTCAAGGTGGTGCGTGAACTATTAGCTGATCATGAAAAGCATTGTTCTGTCCCTTGAGTTATATGAATAGTCGTTTAGAAGTATTTGTCAGTCGTTTCGTTAATTGCATAATATTACCAATGAATTGATGACACACTAAACATGTATAAGCATCTATATTACGAATCTACACACTCACAGGAATACTATTGTGTTTTGATCACAGAATCTTGGCCGTGAATTCATTGATGTACCATTAGCCAATTGATAAGCGTCTGTTAGCCAAAGCAGGCACACGAGCAGGCACCCTATTTTTTCAAGACATTTCGTTAATTGCATAATCTTACCAATGAATTCATTGATGTCTATTTTTGCCATTGGGCACATGTCTCTTTAGCATGTTTCGTATGAATATTGCAAATTTTTAACGGACTTTTCCTATCGCCGTGTATGGTCGCGCTACTCTGAGGAGTTAGCCGATTGTTCTGTTACTCAGTTTTAACAAACGTAACCATTGAGGGTTAATTGTACAGATCAATGAGTAGGACATCTTCAGGAGTACGGTGTTGACAATTCTGATCGTAAGTGTATTCGCATATTAGAGTGTTTTTAGATATTAAAGTTGCTTTACATAGAATAATCTGAGTGGTTCCTTTCTAGGTTCATGCGTAATAACCTTAATTATAAAAGCTGTATTCTGCAGTGAGATCTGAATTCTGAGACCTGACAGAATTACACTAAAACAGAATCAGTAAAAGTAAAACGAGAATCGCTGGATTATCACAATTGGCAATACAACCTTCGACATTGCATACATTGATATTCCATAATTTGCATAATTTTAAGAAATTACACTTTTTATTGTATTATCACGATTGGTAATACATCCTCGACAACGAAGCTGAGTCATTTTCATAGTGGCATACATTTACATAATTCCAGATATTTGCGTTATGTTAGAAAATGTCACACTTTTCATTGTATTATCACGATTGGTAATACACCCCGAGATAATGAAGCCGAGCCTAATTTGCATAAATGTGAATACTGTATCATAATTTAATACAATTACATGTTCTTTATTTACTTTTTTTCATTACACGATATTAAACAAGCACCCCAAGTGGCAGCTGCCTCTGTGTGGCATAAGATGGCCCTGCACCAGCCCGCATGTTGGCATGAGTCTGTCAGTAGAGGGCGATGATTGTTGCATAATCTCAGTTGTGTAATTTGTGAGTAATGTTTCTAATTTGCCAAATTTTAACCACAATGCCAGCATACAATGGCCTACTCGTTTTGAATGAGACAATAGTATTTTTTACAATCAACTGTTAAGCAGACGATGCATATTTGTAATTAATGTTCCTGGACGAACCAGGGATGCCTGTCGGATTTGAACCTTGAACTGCAAAAAAAATAGAATGCACTCAATCTGAATGCTGCAGGTGTAGGCCTCATTCGACAGATCAACTTGTAAATATGATATAACATGATGAAGTACATTTCAGTGCAGTTATTACATTTTGGCAATATGCCTATCGATAATTTAGAATTATAATTGAATTAATAATTGTCAAATTTTGTGATTACATGTAATATTTTGTCTATCAGGGTTAAACATGGAATACGTCCATAATATAGGTTTTTGAGTTAGATCGCGTAAATATATAAATGTGTCGTTAAAACCCGCCACCACCCGACACGGCCAACAAGTAAGGGTTGTCACGTCAACAGAACATGCTGGTCTCGGCCTCGCTGTGCGCTGCGTTAAACCGCTAGCTGAGTAGATAACCTTGCATCCAATAAACCCTCCGAGCCAGGGTGAACATCCGACTCCAAACGTCATTTATTGATTTTAACGAGGTAAAACTGGTGAGAAAACAGCACATACAGCATCTGTTAATACCCAGAAACACCAACACAATGAATGAACACCACAGCATCATAACATTGTCTTAGATAACATTTTTCTCAACAATAGATCCTGGATGGACCAGGAACCTACATTACCACTGAATAGCTATACAAGAGCATAAGTTACTGTGTTACATAAAGGCACAGCGTGTTATCACACTGCACCCCAGATGTACAGTACTACACATAACACTGCACTATGAATGAGACATTTTGTTATCCTTGCTCTCCAGATCGCAATATAGTTACTTGGGTACAAGTTTGACTCGACTTATTAAATTACAAATAACATTCACAATAAGGAAAGTTGCAGGCTTCGTTGTTACTCGCATATTAGAGTGTTTTTAGATATTAAAGTTGCTTTACATAGAATAATCTGAGTGGTTCCTTTCTAGGTTCATGCGTAATAACCGTAATTATAAAAGCTGTATTCTGCAGTGAGATCTGAATTCTGAGACCTGACAGAATTACAGTAAAACAGAATCAGTAAAAGTTAAAACTAGAATCGTTGACAATACAACCCTAGACAACGAAGCAGAGCCTAGTTTGCACAATTGCATACATTTACCGAATTCCATAAATTTGCATAATTTTATGAAATATAAATATTTCATTGTGTAGTGGGTTCAACTGAGTCGCAGACATACTCTTTGGAGACAACACATTTATTAATGGCAACACATGGGTTAATTGCCCCAACAGGATAACCTATGGTCGTGGACCACCAGGCTAACTGCACTCATTACACGGTAACTTGCTACACTGGACCGGACCCCAGCTTGGGTCCCGGACCACGTGTTGGAGACTGTAGGACGTACAGAACAATAGGCAACAAGGGAAGAGAGAGAAAAAACTAAACACAGTAACACGCGAACACTCAGAACCCCCTCCATCACCAACATTTCCCACCCTCACTGTGTAACAACACCCGTATGCACAGCAAAGGCCAGGTGTGTGCGTGCATGGGGATCACGAAAACCGAAGAGTTTTTTTATCGAGTCCTTGTGGCCGGTCCCCCAGGGGAGGTGGACTCGCTCTCCCTGGAGGTCCCGGGGGGGACATGCAAATGTCCCGTCGAAGCCGGCTCCTCACGAAGAGCAGTCGGCCGGGCGGACAGGCTGTACTCTCCCGAATCCAGTGGAGACAGCGCAGGCGGTGGCTCGGGGAACATTAAACACACGGCACCTGAGGACGGGATCACATGACTCAGCAGAGGACCAACCTCAGTGGGTACACACCTCGGCTAGCTAGACACATCTGACACTCGGGCGCTGCGGTGTGGAGACGGAACGAACTCGCGCAGAGCAATGAAATGCTTGAGGCATGATGATGTACAAACCAACTCTGCCGACCCAAGCGAATCTGAACACATTATGATCGAACGACCCAAATCACATCAACCGGCCCCCTCCAGGGTTAAAACAATTTGGGCGACGTACCCACCAGTACCTGTGGACAATGCAACCAGGCTCTGTCCGCTGGCACCCACTCATGTGCGGAAGTACGGGAACTCCTCAGCCGCTCATTTGCCAATTGGCACGAATTGGAATTTACTCTGGAAGCCTGCCGCGATTCGGAAAGCATCTAAAGGGTAAAGCGCACAGTCACAATTTTTTTTATTTAGCCTTGTTTGGTCGTGTTCTCTCCCTACATTAAAAAAAAACAGTGAGTATCCGGTGGATGTGTGAGGAGCCATCCTATATGCAGCCAGGACTCCGGGAATGTGCAAATCCCAGTCAAGTTGGGACACGCTGACCTGATGGCTCAACATGGAGATCAGAGTCCTGTGCAGCCACTCAACCATGCCATCCATCTGTGGGTGGTATGGTGACATGCGTACTTTGTTCCCAACAAATTGCACACCTCACGCAGCATTTTCAAAGAAAAATGCTTGCCTTCATCGGTCAACAGGCATTCGGGAGCACCCTTGTCCATTACGGAGCCATTGAGGAATGCCTCAATGATCGTTGCCGCCAACTGGTTGGGGAGCGGCCAGGCCACCGGCCATCGTGAAACACTCAACTCTCACTAGCAAATACTTATTCCCATGAGGGGTAGTGGGAAATGGACCATGGATGTCCATAGCAACCAGTTCATTTACGCAGGAGACCTGAATCGATTACAACGGTGGACAACAGGGTTTTGACGGCGGTTTCCCCCTCACGCCCACCCACACCCTTTCAACAAATTAGCGACATCTTCCGCTATGCCAGGCTAGAAGAAGTCCAGCTTGAGTGTGGCCAACATCTTATGCACACCCAGGTGCAACAGTCGCTCGTGAACTGCCCATATTACCTTACCCCGCAGGGCAGTGGGCACAACAATGTTATAACGGTGCAACTCTCCATCCCAATGCATGAGTAATCTGCCTCTAACAATGACAGAGGCAACACCCCGTCGATCCTCGCCCTCATCGGCCTCCCTGACACGGCGTCGCAATATCAGCAGGGAAGCGTCCTCCACCTGGAGGCGCCCCCACTCTTTGTGGTCCAGCCCATCGGCTACCTCAGGTTCCAACCTCAGCCGACGCTGCAAGGGGAGGGACAAGTGCTTTTTGGGCGGCTGACAGTGCCCAGAACCCGAAAAACACGCGCACCCATCGCTCGTTGGTAATCGCGATAGGGCGTCAGCGTTCGTGTGCCGGGAGGCTTTGCAATAAGTAACATCAAATCAATAGTCCTGGAGGACTTCCAACCAATGTGAAAGTTGGCCAGATGGCTGTTCAATACGCAGTGCGTATTGTAGCGCTGCATGGTCAGAGCACACCTAAAAGCGTCTACCATACAAATAGGGGCGATACTGTTCCACGAAAAACACAAGAGCTAACAGTTCCCGGCGTGCGACACAGTACCGTTGTTCGGCCGGAGACAGCACTCTGCTTCCATATGCGCCAATTCCGGTGTTACTAGCGTCTGTATCAAGGACGAACGGCAAGGAAAAGTCAGGGTAGTGGAGAGGAGGGGTGTTCACCAAGCCATCCCGGAGCACAACAAATGCGGCCTCCTCCCCCCAGTGGAACTTCTGTCCCTTAGCCGTCAAGGCGTGGAGAGGTTTGGCGATCATGGCGAACCCGGCGACAAAACGGCGGTAAAAGGACGCAAATCCAATTAAACTTAACACGTCCCCCACCGATGTGGGAGTCGGCCAAGAATGCACACACGCAGTTTTGTCCGGGTCCGTCGTTATCCCTGATTTACTGACTATGTAGCCCAGATACCGAACAGATGTTTGGAGGTGACCCTTCTGCGGTTTAAATTTAAGGTTTGCTGCATGCATTTTAAGATAGACAGCACAGCCGTTTCAGATGCTTTTTGAACGTACGTTTGAAAACGATTACATCGTCAAGATATATCAGGGACGAGTCCCACTGGAGAACAGCCAGAACCAGTTACATCAATCGCTGGAACGTACCCGGTGTGGAGTGAAAACCCATCGGAAGCTGATTAAATTTGAATAAGCCTTGTGGTGTTTTGGGTTTGGAGGCTTCATCTAGTTGCAACTGCCAAAATCCGGAAAGGAGGTCAAGTCTCAAAATACTGTGCTCCTGCTAGAGCATCTAGAGAATCGTCCATCTGAGGAAGAAGGTACGGCGTCAGCCACGGAGATCTTATTAAGCTTACGAAAGTCAACACAGAAGCGCAAGCTACCATCCTGCTTTTTAACAAGGACAATCGGGGCCCCCCACGGGCTGGTGGATGGCGAGATGATATCGGCGGCCAACATCTCATCAACTGCCAGCCGCACGTGTTATTTTTCCTTAGAGCTCAAACGGTAGGGCTTTTGCCGGATGGGAGCGGCGTCACCCGTATCAGTGATGACTCAAGAGCATAGTGCGGTCGATGTCAAATTTGCCCTTGCTAAAAACACATGAAAATTCACGCAAGAGTGCCCTCAACTCCCCCCTCTGGGACTGAGACAAATCCGCATTTTCCGAACAAAGCGTATCCATCCACTTCTCATCAGAATCCTTTATCGGCCACGTATTCGACACAGCCTCCATAATGCCAACGATGCTTCCTAAGCGCGGGCGATGCATAAGCAAGCACGGTGCCATCCTGAACAACCGACGTGTCTAACCCTGCATTAAGGACCTAAATGAACGGTTCCTGATCGTTGGATACCAGAGTCTGGGCCCCTACCAATGTCAACCCGCGAATGGCGTTGAGGGTCCCAAGAGGATTCCTCCCGCAGGCGCCTCCTTGTTCAGCGGCTTGTGAAATCGTAAGGGAACCAACATTTGCGCACCCGGGGGAATCTTTACGGTCTTACTCGCAAGTGCTTGCACAGTAGCGTTGGCTGTGCACAATCGAGTGGGAAATGGCAAAAAGGCCATTTGACGGCCCGATGGTAACTCAAGGCACCCTTGATCAATTACAATTTTCAGGGGCATTTTCCCTAAAAAATCATTCCCAAGCAAGCAAGGAAGAGCAAAGGACGTCAATACAAGAACCGGTCCCGTCAATTTGATATCTCCGATGCACACCTCCGCTGTAATTTTTCCAGTGATGCCCAATGAGCCACCAATTGTGGCAAAATACGGAACTTTGACAGACATATGGTTCGACATTTAGGGGGAAAGATGTTATTAATCAACTCTGAAATGATGGTCGCTTACGCACCGGTGTCAATGAGCATCCTGATCTCAACCCCCTCTATCAATCCAATAACAGCGGACGAGCCTGCAGTCGCGGCAACCATTATATGGGCCAGCTCCGACCACTGACCCGGTCGGAGCGGTCGGTCGGCCCGATCAGAATCCGAACCCTCCCGCACCCACGCACGACGGCCACGGAAACCAAACGAACGAGATGGGTGAGGTGGATGCAGGGCCCGATTGTGTGATGTGTCGTGACTTGCCTGAGGCCTTGCTGATGATGCCGATGTGGAGGTGGATGGAGGTGGAGTCCTATCGAAGGCGCTAGGGACGTTGCGACAGCCCCCGGCGATGCGGCCTGGCTGACCACAGCGGAAGCACTTGGTGGGTGCTGGCCCATCCGAGAGAAGAGGCCTGGCACGTCACCTTTGCTCCGGCCGACGTCCACCAGCTCCTGTCCCGCGCCGATCGCGTGCGGTGAAGGCGGTGAGGCGATTCTCTTCATGAGATGTGACGACCTCGGCTGGACCCAGGTCCCAGGCGCACACCACCACACTGGGCCACTGGCGCAGCCCGAGGTGCGCCTGGATCCCCTGCGCCACCTTCAGAGAAGAGATGTCCGTCTCCTCTGCGATGGCAAAATCGACGCAGAGCTCCCACGCTAGCGAGAGCAGCCGCTCCAGCGCAAGGGATTCCAGCGCCGCCTCGTCCATATTGGGGTAGGCCGTCCGTCCCGGCACCAACAAGGCGCTGCGGAACGCGAGAGGCGTCTCAGCCTCCCCTCACCTCCGCAGCAGGAACTTACGGTGAGCACTCGATGGCAGCTCGAAGGTTGCGGCCATGTGAGCGCACGCCAGCGGGAGCTTTGCCCGATCCACAGCTGGGATGGACGTGAAGGTGGCCAGGGAGTCGTCATCCAGCATCGTCGGGAGTGCCTTGAGCGCTTCCTCCATGGGTCATCCCACGGAGGCGTAGACCACTTGAAAGCGGCGTTGGAAGGAGCTGCAGTCGCTGCCGGCAGCAGTAAAAGGTTTAACGGGCGGCAGACGGCATAGCTTAAACGGACTGGAGGTGAAGTCCGGCGCGGGCGCTGCACCACCATCAGTCGATGGAATCACTGGGGAAGAGAAAATGGTGCCCAGTTGCGGCGTCGCACCCGTTGAAAGGTTGGCGCCAACATCGAATATGGCCGAACATGGCGGCTGAAGAAGTGGAGGGAAGCGCCTGTTCCTGTTCCAACACCGCGATGGGCGCTTGCCACTGGGTTCCCGCCTCCGAGATGAGGGAGACAAGGTGCGCAGCAGACTGCAACAGCTAGCCAAGCTGGCTGGTGAGTTGCTGCCAGTTCTCCGGCGATGGCGAGTGGCTGGGCGCGGCAGCCTCCTCCTGCGTTATTTGCATAAGATTGGCGCGGCGCATCTGCAGGGTCTCCATCCCCGGGGCTGTTAGAGGAACCTCCCCTACGTCGTCCGCCGTCCTGGTACATGGTCCGCTTCGTGTAAACATACTTAGTCTGCTTCGTGTAAACATAACTAACCTAACTCGGCTAGCTTACTAAAAGAACGTTTGGCGACTTCCAACACCAGTTGCAGTGGGTTCAACCACTACAACTGGTGTAGTGGTTGAAAGACATTTATTAATACCAACATACGGGGTAACTGCCCCTTAACAGGATAACAACCTATGGTGGTGGACCACCAGGCTTGGGTCCCAGACCACGTGTTGCAGACTGTAGGACAGGGGTCTGCAACCTTTAAGACATAAAGAGCCACTTGGACCCGTTTCCGAAGGAAAAAATAAACTGGGAGCCGCAAAACCATTGCGACATTTAAAACAAATATAACACTGCATATATTGTTTCTTACCTTAATGCTATATACAGGTTCGTGCAGTCAGCTGTCAATCTGAAGAAAAAAATACTTTTTCACTTAACAATTTAAATTATATTTTTGCAAATTAATACCTAAATAAAATATTTAATTTACCTGGTTAATGTGATTTTTGCTCCTGAACCTCAGTGCACAGTGTCTGCACATCAGGGCTGTAAGACGTCACCTTCATTTTCACACAGGCTTGCAAGCTGTCATCTGTGAGGCGTGATCGATGTTTGTTTTTAATATAGTTCATGTTGGAGAAGACCTGCTCACATACATATGTGGAGCCGAAGATCGACAGGACTCCAAATGCATACTTTTTCATGTTTATATAAGTGTTGGGGATGGAATTCCATGTTTCGAATACAAGTTTGTCCTGTTTGGGAAGGTTTTCAATATCACTCCATTTATGATTCTGAGCCAGAATGGCCTTCTGACGGGCAACATCTTCAAGAGTAGCGGTCAAACATTTGAACTTGGACACCCATATATCTTTGTCGGCTATATCGGCCAGTGCCATCTCAAAAGATCAGGTTGACTTACACCTGCAAATGCAGTCATATTCAATAGGGATGGATCGATCGCCAGGGGAGTGACAGGGAAGGATAATGTGGTTTTTTCCTCTCTGAACTCACAGAATCGTTTCCCAAACGAACTTTGCATTGCGGTGATTGCAGACTTGAAATATTCCAAATTTATCGTATCATGACTTTGTTTGAACTCTCTCAAAGAGGGAAAGTGAGACAGTGTACCGCTCTGTAAATCTTTGACAAACACTGTCAACTTGCGCTCGAATGCCAAAACCTCCTCCAGCATGTGCAGGGCTGTGCCTCCTTTCCCCTGAAGGGTTGTATTTAGCGTGTTTAGATGTGCTGTCATGCCACTCTGGCTGTTCCAGCTCAGCAAAGGTGAGCTCTTTGCTGCCCAGGAAGGTTTTTACTTCTTCCAAACATGTGACAAAGCGTTTTAGCACCTCGCCTCTGGACAGCCACCGGACCTTGTGGAGCAGGAGGTCAGAATATATGCTTTCCACCTCATCCAATAGCAAACGGAACTGGCGGTGGTTTAAACCCTTTGCCATTATCTTATTAACAATCTGAATGACCACATCCATCACTTTTGTGCATTCCGGGGGAAATGTTTGAGCACACAATGCCTCTTGGTGCAGGATGCAATGAAATGACAGCAGCGTTCTACCCAGCGCCTTCTGCAGTAGAGCCACAAAGCCCTTCTGTGCTCCTCTCATGCTCAGTAGCCACTGAGACCAGGTGGTTGGTGTTTATTTTTTTAGCACTTAAAAAGTCCAGGACAGCCTTACAGATATCCTCACCCCTTGTTTGGTCTTTTAGTGGTATCAACTCAATCAGTTCTTCCTGTGGCCCAAAAGAGTTCACATATCGGCAGAACAGCGCTATTTGTTCAATATCACCTTTATCTTTGGACTCATCACAGGCGATGGAGTACGCCACAGCTGAATTAATGTCTTGAATTTGCTGTTTGCTAATGTTTTCTGCCATTTTTAGGGTTCTGTCTTTGACAGTCTTCGCAGAGAGAGGCATGTCTTTGATTTTCTGCACAATTTCATTCTTGTTTTTGAAGTCCATGTATAGATGTTCCGAAATATTAATGAATGCTTCTTTTATATACTCTCCATCTGTGAAGGGCTTCCCGTGCTTGACTATTTCCTGAGTGGCCACAAAACTAGCAGTATCGTCAGTAGAGAATGCAAATGATTCTGTCCATGTATCATTAAACACTCTGTTTTCTTCAGAAATTTCTCTCTTGCCTTTATCCATGGCTGGCCTAGCCGGGGGGTCGAAAACAGCGACGTAATTAGAAATCACAGGGCCCCATAGCAAAATTTGCTATGCCCACCCCCCTCAAGCTCCAGCCACCCCCCTCCCCTTTCCCTGCAACCTACTCCAACCAAAAAAAAAGAATGCAATTGAACAGCACATTACACAGCCAATAACAATGCCCCCAATGTGCCATAAAAAACGAATTACTGCCCCAAAGTGCCAGAGAAAATGACCAATGCCCCCAAATGACCAATGCCCCAAAATGCCATAGAAAATTAATCAGGGCCCCAGTGTACCATAAATCATAATCAGTGCCTGATGTAAATAATAATTAATAATGAGGGCCCAATGTCATCCTCGTCATTATAAAAATAACTTTTTTGTCACTTTTTTTATTTTTTGGTTTGACCCCCTCAGAATTACTCCTCATAGAAATAAACGTTAAATTAACAAGTTACCTTTTTTTGTGTGTGTGTGTTCTTCACTCCCGCGCAGTGCTGGCTCAGGCTGGCTCCGGCTCCGTCACTCCTCCCCCTCGCACGCAGGCGGCCTGACGTCACCAGGCACTGTACTAGCGGCGAGGCGGAGCTGAGGAGCGGAGCTGATGGAGGCAGCCATGTTGCGTTACCTAGCAACGGCAACGTTATTGCCTGTCACCGGGCGGGCAGTGTGGAGCGGAGCGGCGACCTGTCAGCAGCGGCAACGCCAGAGCAGGTGTCACAGTGCGCCTCCTCCCCTCGCTAGCATCCGCCCCGGAGCCGCGGTCAAGGTTCAAAAGAGCCGCATGCGGCTCCGGAGCCGTGGATTGCCGACACCCGCTGTAGGACGTGGAACATAGAACGTAGATTTCTTGAGGATGACAACAGCGCCGGTCCCTCTGGGGGACCCGGCTTATATGCTCTGTCGCGTGGCCGGCTCCGCCCTTGGCCACGCCCACCCTTCAGACTTTTCGAGCAAGATGTCGACTCTGACACGTGACCTCCCTTAGCCCCCACTTGGGGCCCCTGTGTCGACTCAACGGTCACGTGTCGTCTGTAGTCAACCAGAGTATCACGGCCCAAAGTAACCCCATTCCCGTGGCCGGCACTCTCGCACCCCATCCTATAGGGGTCGGCACTGCACGCCACGCATGATGCCATCCAGTGCTAGGGCCGGTACTACACAGTGACATCTGCGATGTCACTACAATTGTATTATCACGATTGGTAATACTCCCCTTGATAACGAAGCTGACCCTAATTTGCATCATTGTATAAATGTGAATATTTTAATAAATTAGCATACTTTCATAAAATTACATTTTTTCTTATTTTTGAAGACAATATATACAACAAGCACCCCCAAGTGGCAGGTGCCCCTGTGTGGCATAAGATGGCCCTGCATCAGCCTGCATGTGAGCATGAATTTTGTCAGTAGGGGGCAATGATTGATGTGTAATCTCAGTTGTGTAATTTGTGGGTAATGTTTGGAATTTGCCAAATTTTAACTACAACGCCAGCATGCAATTGCCTACTCGTTTAAATGAAAATAGTATATTATTTTGGTCTTTCGATAAAGCCACGTAGATAGAAAAAATAATACAATATCACATCGTTTTGATCGCAACACAAGCAATCTGCCGAGGCAGGCTGTTTACAAATGGTTTAGAGATGGGTGGGTCAGCTAATGCCAATGTGGGAGAGGTACTACGGAGCTGTGGGCGGTGGCCATTGTATTGTGAGAGATTAGCATGTCAATGTAAGAAATTTGAAGCTCGGGGAGAGCTCGGACAGCGCAGTGGTCACATGGAGGTGGAAAAGAATGGCAAGCCGCCATTTACTAACATGGCTAACGGTGGCAGTGTTAGTGAATGTGACTGCGGGGGGTGACCATTAAATTGTCAGAGATTAGCATGTCAAAGTAAGAAATTTGCTTGTAAATGTAAGCTCGATGAGAGCTCAGACAGCGCAGTAGCCACATGGAGGTGGAAAAGAATGGCAAGTCGCCATTTATCAACACAACTAACGGTGGCTTTGTTAGTGAATGTAACTCAGAGTAGAAAATAACTGCTAACATGACAGATGCTTGTGTTGCGCTCGAAACGTCGTGATTTATTTATTTTATAGCTATGTGACTACCGAAAGAACCAAAGAGTATGGATTCCTGCAGTCACGAAAGCTTCAAATCAAGATAGGTAGGTAGGATAGGAACACTACCAGTTATGACCTACACTGGTTAATAACGTCCTTCCAATGATTGCTCAGTTTGTACCCATCTTCTCGGTTAAAGTTGTGTCTGTGACTTTACCGAAAGAACCAAAGAGTATGGATTCATGCAGTCACGAACGCTTCAAATCAAGAATACTATTTGTATTATGCAGAAATGCATAAATTAATGTTCAATCACACCTTAGAGGTGTGAAGCCAGGCTCAAATTTGCTTGAATGCTTGGATGAACAGATCTAACTTCAGCAGAATATATGCTGTGTTCATTTCCTGTTTCCATTCTTACAAAAAGTTCCAGAGGAAAACTAAAATAAGCTGTTTTTATTTAACCTCCATGTTCAATAGTTAATATACTTTACTGCAAATACAAACTTCACACTGTCACACACTGGCGTGGTAAAAAGGTGGTGGTGTGTCCAGAACCATGTCTGGCCACCTTCATCTGTTAAATATTAATGCTTCCTCACTTCACCATGTAATTAATTTAAGATCAATCAAAATAGCAGAGGCCCACAATAAGTTCAGCTTTCACTTATCAATCATGTTTGCTGTCCGCGATAATCAAACTAATTGTTGAGTTTATAATGCAGTAAAATAACTGCTCCACAGATCCCCACAAAGATAAACTCTTAAATACACATACATTTCACATGGCTCATTAACATCTTACCTATACAAGTCATTTTTTGTTTGTCTGTCTGTCTGTGGACAAAACTTGCGACGGATTTGACTCACGAACCGTGGGGTTGACGTAAAAAAAAGTACGTGGGTACCACGCAATAAGCCCCGTGGTGAGCCAGTGCTATTCGTATTTTGCGTCCATCAACTTTAAAGTAGTTAAAAAAATATTTTTAATAAGAATAGGGTTACCTTCGTCTTGGCAAAATATATTTTGTGTGTGCCTACAGCGTTAAATAATGATCAGCCACGGCTGAGGTATTGGTCCTACCGTGTTTCAGATCTGCCTTATGTTCACGGACCCGGTCCAAGACATGTTGCTTAAGTTTTCCCAATGTAACTGCTGCCGCAGACACAGCTTAGTTTGTAGACACCGGGGTATTGCATGTTGGGGATCGCATCCTTCACAGAAGGGATCAAATCACGAATTTATGTACTGTGTTGTATCGTACCTGGATTTTGTGTTTGCTCATGCTTTTGTAAATATTTTTGGTGACCCCCGCTATGTATGGCAAGGTGATCGTTTTGATTGGGTCTTCAGATGGTTCTCCCCACGGTTGGGTTGATAGCTTTACGGATTGTGTAGTCCGAATATCCATTCCTTTTGAGGGCTCGGTGTACGTGCTCCAGTTCACTGGCTAGGTGGTGATGGTCGGAAATACGAGCTCTGTGGTATAGAGGTTTGATGAGGGAATTCTTCTGGGATGGATGGTGGTGGGAGTCAGGTTTTAGGTAAGCATCCGTATGGGTGGCTTTCTTGTAGATAGTGTCCCATTGAGCCGTCAGGTCTCTTTTCGATTAAAACATTCAAGAATGGTAACTTGCCATCCTTTTCCACATCCATGGTGAATTTGATAGCTGGGTGTATGGAATTGATGTGGTTGAATAATTGTTCCAGAGCTGATAGGCCATGTGGCCAGATGACGAACATATCATCTACGTATCTCTTCCACAAGGAAGGATGCCTGAACAGCATCCGTCTCAAAATTTTGGCTTCAACTGGAGATAAGGGATAACTCATAGGGTACCTTCAACTTGTTTGTAGAATGTTCCATTCCAGGTGAAGTAAGTGTTGGTGAAGCAGTGTCTAACTGGGGCTGGTACATCAGTATTTAGTCCTTGTTGGACCAAATCTTCAATGATTGCAATGGTGGTGGGCACAGGAACTTTGGTAAACAAAGATACCACATTGAAACTGACAAGCAAATCACTTGGAGATAGTGAGATGTCCTTAATTAACAATACCAAGTGAGCTGAGTTAAGTACATCTGAGGTGGTCTTACCAATAAATGGCTGGAAGGTCTCAGACAGAAATCGGGCCAGTTTGTAGGTGGGTGAGTCTGGTGGAGACGATAGGATGAAGAGGTGTGCCTTCTTTATGGATTTTTGGTAAGCCATACAATCTGGGTGGTCTAGCAGCAGAGGGTTTTAAGGCAAGTCGCTTGGTTGGTTCGATTAAAGATGTCGAATCAGTGATGATGTTGGTTTTTGTAACCAGGCTGTTAGGATCTCTATTGATTTTGGTATAGCTGCGATCATTAAGTAGGTCCTGAATTTTGTTATTGTATGTGGATTTGTCCAAGATAACAGTGGTTTTGTCCTTGTCGGCTGAGATGATGACTGTCATCTCTCTTTTTTAGTTGAGAGAGTTCAAGGCACTCATCCTTTCTGATGTCGCTAATAGGTGTCTTAGCGTTTGAGGATTGCAGCGATTTCCGATCTTGCTACGTCTGCAGGAATGTGTCACAAACCCTTTAGGTCGACGTCGACCTGGGCAATGGTATCATCAACTGGGATGTGTTTAGTGGCGACTGCGAAATTCAACCCTTTAGCTAGAACCGATTTTAGGCCGTCGGAAATTGGGCTGTTGCTCTGATAACAATCTTGTCCCCATCTAACTTTTTAGTGTCTGGATCTGGCTTCTTCTTGGAGTGGAGGTTGAACTTGGAAATCAAGTTATCTTTGCATTTCGCTGACATTGAGGTGGCTGAAGAGGCTGTCATGTTATCTACATGGTCCCAATCAGATGTAGACATTTTTTCTGTCAATGTTAAGTGGGATTGCAAGAGGGTCTTGTCTAAATTATCTCGTTCAAATCGGAGCAGTCTTATTCTCTCTGAGATCAGGGCGAGTCTGGCCCTGAACAAGATCCGTTTTGCATTAGGAGAAGTGACAGCAGCAGATGCGAGTGTAAAGGCGATCGGTATTACCATAGTGTTGCGGCATCTCTTCAGAAAAGTGAGCGACTATCAGAAGAGCCTTCTTGTCTCGAAGTTTGTTGAAAGTTATAATAGTTGTGTGGAAACCCTCCCCGTAGAGGCGGTTAAATCTTAAATTAAAGCTTTCGTGACTGCAGGAATTCATATTCTTTGGGTCTTTCGGTAAAGCCACGTAGATAGAAAAAATTATAGA